AAATAAAATAAAATAAAATAAAATAAAATAAAATAAAATAAAATAAAACAGAGAAGCTACAGAAACACACTGTAATAGCCCACTGTCCTCATGTATCATTACAACATGAGCGTCCGGAGAAGACCCCTCTAAAGAGGGAAGACATGGGCCCAGGTCCATAGTCCAGCCCTCATGAAGACAGTTCCCCCAATGATCATGAGGGCCAGGGAACTCCAGAGGAAATGCCTGCGGCATCTAGGACCTCCATTTCACTGTTTGCCACTCATAGTCCCCATAACCTGAGTTCCCCACCTGTGAGCCAGAAGTTAGACTGTCCCGTCCGATGTTTCCAGCGCTTCTAAAAGGCTGGGCTCCAAACTCAAGAAGAATTGCTGTCAGACTCTGGCCTTCCTATCTGTAATGGTTTGAATCTGAACTGTCCCCATAGGCCTGGCCATTGAATGGGTGGCCACCAGCTGTCAAGGCTGTCTTGGAAGGTGCTGGCGACTAGAGAAAGTGGCAGGGCTCTGGGAACCACAGATGTGCTGACCTCAGAGGCTGGTCCTGCTGTGGCTCCACTGACCCTGAGTCAGCATCCTTTTCTCAGTAGCCCTCACCTTAGTTGAGTGCTACAGGGGTGGTATTTCGGGAGTGGAGAAGAGCGACGGAGATTGCAATTTCTCTGAGAAATGGATAAGGTGTACATCTGGGGGTGTGCTTTGTGCCCCATTGGAACTTTGCCAGGATACTTTGTAACTCTTGGAGTTAAGGATTGCTCATAACTCCTTTGTAGACGAGGAATGAGGTGGGAATGGAGTTCTGATTTCCCCAGGGAGAGCTTTAATTCTAGAGAGCAGGCAGAGGAGAACTTGCTGATGTCTCAGCGTTCCTTGAGATTACTTCAGTCCACATGGAGCCCCTAACAGGCAGATCTCATCATTTACTTCCATCTTCCAGGCTTGGGAAACTGAGGTTGGGGGAGTTAAGCTGTCTGTCTCAGGATGCATAGCTAGCAGACGGTATTAAACCCTTAGCTTTTCTCATCACTGTGACCGAATCCTTGACATAAACAATTTAAAACAGGGATGATTTATTTTGGCTCATGATTTTACAGAGTTCAGTCTGTGGCCCGAGGCCCCAAACACTCAGACCACACATCATGGTAGCAGGAAGATGTGGTAGAGGAGAGAAGTTTATGTCATGGTGAACAGGAAGTGGCTCACACAAGACAGGAAGAGGGCCAAGGCAGGATGCCCCAAAGGGTCTAACCCCAGTGACTCAGTTCCTTTAGCTAGACATCATCTCGTAGAACAGTGCCACCAAAGCTGGTGGGCTAGCCTTCGATGTGACCTGAACCTGTGGGGACAGTTCAGATTTAAGCCATAGCAGATAGGAAGACCGGAATCTGACTGGAGGCCCTACCTATTTAGAAGGATCATTTAGAAGCACTGGGGCAACATGGTCAAGATAGTCCAGGATGAGAGTGGGAAGCAGAAAGCAAGGGAACCAGTGGATGAGATGGCAGATGGACAGGCGCTGTAAGAAACTGCAAGCAGAAAAATAGGTTGGGCATGCTTCATTCAGGGATGGCTTCCTAGGCCATGCTGAGGCCACGGTTTTTTTTTTTTTTTCTTCAGTTGTTTTGAGGTACTGTTAAATAAACCCTACAGCTTTGCATGTGCTAAACAGCTCACAATTCAACACTACACCCCACCCCCAGGCTCT